CTCGGTGTGTACTTTTAAACCTTTAGGATATGGTGAATTTTTCTGTATTAATAAGCATATTTGCCATTAGAATTAATATTTTATTTTTTTATTTGTTTACTTAAAGATACTCTATTTTAAAAAAATCTCAGTTCGAAATAAAATTTAAAAATTACTGAAACCTACTTTTATTTACAAACCATTCCAAAGTACAAGGATCTTCCCTACAGTATGATGCGTCGAAAAAAAACTGCAAAAACCGTTGGTCGGTTCATGGACGAACAAGTGAGGGAGGCGGTACTTTTAGTTACAATTGGTATGAAAATGTGCTGTGCTGCCAGGGAAACAAACTTAAGCTTTCAAACTTAAAGCAGATGTGTACAAAAAATACAAAGAAGACCCTACTTGTAGAATGAGTCCTAACTACAAAGTTAAACAAATTTTTTCGTCACAGTTAGACTAAGTTCTTGTTCAATACATTGTGACTTGCTCAAAGATGGTTTATGGACTAACTGTAACCGACTATCGCAAGTTAACTTATGATTTGGCTAAAGCTAATAATATTAACCTACTGGACAATTGGAAGAAGTCAGGCTAAGCATCAATAGAGTGGTAAAAAGGATTTCGAAAACGGCATCCAAATTTGAGCCTCTACGAACCCACGAAGGTTGTAGTTTAGCTAGGGCAGCAGGATTTAATCCTGCTAATGTAAAATTATTTTTTGAAAAACTAGAAAATGTTTTAAGAAGACACGAACAATTTCAAATGGTCTGAGAATTTATAACCTGGTTGAAATAGGGGCTTCAAGCCCCCCTTCTAGAAAAGGTTCTAGCCCAAAAGGGAGTCAAGCAAGTTTCGCCAATTTAAAGTGGCGAACGAGGAACATTAGTTACAACGTACTACATAGTAGACACCTGTGGTAGTGCAGTGCCACCTGTGATGGTATTTCCACGGGTGCATTTTAAAAGTCATATGTTGGTAGGAGCTCGAAGAGGACTGGCTACGAAAGCAGGCTGGATGAACACGTACTGCTTTATACAAGTATTGAAGCATTTTATCAAACACACCTTAAGTTCAAAAGAAAACTCTTTGCTCTTAATAATGGACAATCATGAGATTCACATCTCAATAGAAGGAATTAATTTGTGCAAAGAGACTGGTGTTACAATCCTGACAGTTCCTCCTCATTGTACACACAAATTACAGCCGCTTGATGTATGTCTTCTAAAAACTTTTCATATATTTTACAATGCCTTACATTAGTGGCATAAAGCGAATCCAGCAACGCCAGCAGCTATATGGCATGCGGCATCATTTGTAGGAGTGGTCTATCTCCGAGCAATGACCCCTGCAAACATAGCTGCAGCTTTCAAGAAAAGAGGCATTTTTCCATTTGATCGGCATGTTCATAACGAAGGAGATTTTCTGGCGAGTCATGTGACGGACACACCACCTTCCCGAGAATCGTTGGAAGAATTACCTTCTACTTCTACTAGTGGAATTCAGCTTCATCAACTTGACAAACAAAGGAAAATTACACCAGAAAAAGTGAAATTTGTGAGTCCTGTAAAAATACGAGGATAAACAAAGAAAGCCAACGAACCAGCAATACGCAAAACAAGAAGAAAGGGAAAGACAATAATCGCTACAGATACACCAGAGAAAGACGAAGTACAAAAAATTATAACAACGAAGACGACGATTGAAACTGTTAAGGTTAATGATTTCAAAGCGGAAAAAATGATAGAATCTGATGACTCTTCTTCTTCGAAATTTTCAGTTTACGATTCAGATAGTTCAATGGGCCTTGAAAATTCAGATGATGACGAAGAATACTTTACCAATTTAACAGTTGACCCAGTCATAGTTTCAAGGATGCAAATCAAAAATTTCATATTGGTTAGACTTGATTCTATCTATCTATCTAATTAGCCTTCTTCGGTTCATCTTTGGACATAGGCCTCCCCAATCCTTTTCCATTCTTCTCTGTCTGTCGCTGCAGTCATCCATCTAGAGCCCACGTGCTTCTTGATATCATCTGCCCATCTCATTTGGGGCCTTCCTCTGCTTCGTTTATATTCCCACGGTCTCCAACTTATAAGAATTTTGTTCCATCGGTCTTCTTTTTGTCTTATATTGTGTTCGGCAAATCTCCATTTCAATTTTGCAACTTCTTGTCTAACATCCCTCACTTTTGTTTTCTCTCTTATCCACTCGTTTCTCTTCTTATCCATTAGTCTTATGTGCAACATTTGTCTTTCCATTGCTCTTTGGGTTTTTATGATTTTGTCCATGTTTGCTTTTGTAGATGTCCACGTTTGGGAACCATAAGTAAGAACAGGGAGTACGCATTGATTGTATACTTTGGTCTTAAGATGCTGTGGATATCTTTTGTTTTCAAGAATCTAGCTTAGTTTGCCAAATGCCGCCCATGCCAGTCTAACTCGTCTCTTGATCTCTGCTGTTTGGTTCTCTTTGTTAAGTTTTACAGTTTGACCAAGATATATATAATCCTTAACTTGTTCTATTTCATCTTGTCCGATTCTCATTGTGATGTCTTCATCTGTATTTGTTATAGCTTTGGTCTTGCTGTAATTCATATTAAGGCCTATCTTTCCAGCTTCTACGTCCATTTCTTTCATCATTTCAAATAATTCTTCTTTTTTATCGGTTATCAATACGATGTCATCAGCGTACCTTAGATGGTTCAAGCGTTGTCCACAAATTTTTATACCTTTTTTTCCCATTCTGATCTTTTAAAAGTATCTTCAAGAGCCTGATTGAAAAGTTTCGGTGATATTGTATCACCCTGTCTCACGCCTCTACTTATTTGTAATGATTTTGTTCCTTCATATATTTTAATTGTTGTTTTGGCTTCCTTATATATATTGGTTATTAGTTCCGAATATCTGTGGTCAATTCGGCTGTTAATCAAAGAATTTTTCACTGCCCAATGTTCGACACTGTCGAAAGCCTTTTCGAGATCTATCAACGCCATATATAGAGGAATGTGGTATTCATTTGCTCGTTCTATAAGTATTCTCATACTTAGTAAATGGACTTGATTATGATACCAAAAATAAAACAGTAAAAAAGTAGATATTTTGTGGGGCAAGTTGTAAAACACAATATTATGGCTTTCGAAGTTAACTTTATAAGAAAAAGTTCAAAAGACAATAAATGTTTTGTATTTCCTAATATCATGGACATTTGTACTGTTTCTGGGTCAAAAGTTCAAATTGTTAAAATATTAAAATAACCGCATGTTACCAGAGGGAGTCATTTTGAGTTAATTTAGTAACTGATACTATTTCTTAAAGTATGTATGAGTGATCCAAAATGTGTTTTTCTTCTTTTTTTGTAACAAGTCTTAAAAAACAGCAATACATTTTTATTTAAGAAGATTGTCTTTTAGTTTGAACAATAATAAATCAAAAAGAGAAAAACTAATTAAAAAATAGACGATAAAAGCATATAAGCTGAGCAATAGAACAGAAATATGCTCTATTATCACTGACAATTTTATGGACAAAGTTTATAAAAAGAAAAATAATAACAATTTAAAATTTACTGAAATTACATAAATCGTAAAGGTCACAAAATAAAAGATAAAATACACAATGAATTAATAAGTTTAATCTGCTCCTATATATACAGGGTGATTGATTAGTGTGAGGAAGCTCAGTAGATCTGTTATAGTAAAAATTACAAAAAAAAGTTATTGACAAAAATTGTAGGCAGCTTTAAACTCCACATTTTAAAATGAGTTACAATCTTACAGGGTGTTTCATAAGATAGTGGCAGACCAAACTTTTTTTAAACGGAACACCCTATATTTTATTTTAAATTTAAAATCTGCTTCACTTCCATATCACAACATTGTAAAGTTTTATTATGTTATACCGGGTATTTAAAAAGTTATAGCCAATATTACCTGAAAATCGTATTAAGTATAACTCCCTGTATAATTAAACAGAAGTATAGGAACATTGATCTATTGCAACCATAGTTTTTTAATAATTCTTAAAAATTATAAAACATATTCGTTTTCATAATATTCGTTAAATCAAATACAGGGTAAGTCAAAATGCAAGTACATTATTTTCTCAGTAATTTTAAATAGAACACCCTGTATTTTATATCACTATCGAAAAGTACTAATGTCGTACTCCGAATTTTATGAAGTACTCCCTATACCTAAAGTTATCAATTTTCTAGATATTTTTATTTTTCATCAAAGTATTAATATAGTAGATATATATTTTAACGTTTACCAATAATTCTTGTGAGTTAGCATGATTGATTTGTCAGAAACTGACAGTTTGACATTATTGTTTATTAATTCAGTAAGGAAATAACGACACAGAAAAGAAAACAATTTATTTCAAATAAAATTTATAAAAAATAACCGACGAAAGAAAATAACAACACAGAAAAATAAAAAACAACATAAATTTTAACTTATCTTACTTAAGTAACGTGTTCAAAATAACCTCCCAAAACATCTATGCATACTTGAAAGCGGTCATTTAAAGAGTTGATTACATTACTAAGCATTTGTAAAGAAATATTTTGAAATGCAATTCGGATTCTATTTTTCATATCATCCCTTGTTGTTGGAGGTATTTTCTATACTTCGTTCTTAACGTAACCCCAAAAAAATTAGTCCATTTTATTGAATTCTGGTGACCTTTAGGGCCACCTTACTGGTCCATCCCTTCCGATCCATCTTTCACCAAACTGATCATTAATTTCACCACGTACTAATTCGTTGTGGTGCGCAGAGGCACCGTCATGTAGAAAGCACATTTGTTCACGTATATTAAGTGGAACCTTTTCTAATAATATCGGTAATACCCGATACACTGTTTTACACGTTTCTACCGTGTAAAAACTAACCCATGTAATTATCGAATAAACCTCGTATCAACTAAATACCAGATAAGAGTTATGTACCTACTACAAACGCTATGCAAATATAAGTGTACTTTGAGGTATATTACTTTATAGTAAATTCTTACCTTTAGCCCATTTCGTAAGAGCTCCTTAGCATAACAGAGCCCTATGCCTGAGGCACCTCCTGTAATTAGGGCAACTTTATCGATAACTTCAAACATTATTAGACTAGACGTGATTTAGACTAACTTTTTTATTTTGCTTGGATTCGATTTGCATTCTTATCTTTTGTATCTATGTTTATTTTGTTATATCTCGTCATGTTTAATTAATACTGGTATTATACGATGACTTTATTAGTGTTTAGTCAAGTATATACTATTTAGTGATGAATAATATATCGCAACCGGCGATTTTATAGCTGCTATTTGAAAATCGCAGTTAGCAACTGTTATGGAAAAATAAAAATAGCCGCGATGCTATATACAGCTATTTATAAGAATATGTGAATCGAATAGCAATGGTCAACAGTTTTGTATTACTACTGACTGTTGGACATCTATTAATACCATTAGCTGTATTGGTGTAACTGCTCATTTTTTAGATAGTAATGACAATAATATTAAAAATGCAATCTTTTCTAAATTAACTTTGAAAAATAAGGCTATTATCGAGCACAAGTTAATTAAATCTAGCCCAAGTACTTTCGCCTAAAATAGCATCTTCAGGGGCATTTCGTCAAATATAAACTACCCGGCAAGCGTAGAATGTGGAAACATTAATAATGACATAAAATTGTACAAAACACTACACTAAAACGAGGAAAAACAGTTTAAAATTACTTAAAAGATTCTACGCTACATTCTTTGTCAGTATCTGGAGGGATAATTATTAATATTAATATTAATAATTGTTATTTAAATACGTTATTAATAATTGTTATTTAAATTAATTGTTATTTATTTATTTATTTTAAATTGTTATTTAAAATAAATTCAACATTTCAATAACATTCAAAACAACAAACACGTTGAGATCTATTTTGTCCAAAACCAAACCTAACAATGAACAAGAAAGGACAAAGAATTGCATTTATAAAATACCTTGTGAATGCGATCGGTTTTATTTAGGTGAATCATCAACATTAAATGTTAGAATAAGTGAACATCAATCTTATATTAAAAATAGAGAATTTGATAGATCTCAAATATGTAAACACACATGGGATAATGAACATAGGGTTCAATGGAATAATTCAAATGTAGTCCTAAAAGAAACGGATGGTAAAAAAAGAACAATCAAAGAAGCGGCTCTAATTATGCTAAATGAGGCCAATTGTGTCGCGAATTCCTCGGCAGAATGTAGTAGGATCTGGTTACCAATATTGAAAGAGGAAGTTATTAATAAGAAAATACCAGTATTAGTAAGTCAGTAACATATAGAGGATACATCATTTATGTTTTTTAAATAACGTAACATATAAAATCAGAATTTTGATGTTTGTTGAAGGTAAACTAAATTCACGAACAAATACTTACAATGTCGGGATAGTATTATGAGGTTTTTTTTCCTGGTTTTTCCCTCATAATTTACTATGGAATCACTAACAGGAGAATTTTACTGTCATCATGTCATGTGTTTCGGATATCTTGACGGATATTCTCAAGTTAAAGTTGATTTCATGTAATCGAATGAACTATCTTATAAGTAAAGTCGTCCCAGGAGCGCAACTCAACAATATTGGCAATATCATTTTAAAGTCATGAATAATGTATGTCTGAATTGTCAATATAAATGAGTCAGATAAAATTAAATTATTAGAAGAATTTTTCACTATGTAACAAAAAACAAAATTTGTTTAATTTACTGTTTGTATTTTGAGAACGATTTCCGAAGTGGAAATTGAAACGTCAATAAACGTATTTTTATCTTTAATTGTGGCTTATTCCCAGTTAAATAGTAATTAAATAACAATTGCTTTTTATACTACTCTGAATTTGTATGTACATATTTATTTGTATGAAGTACATTGTAATAAGAAATATATTCTCGTACTTACATATCATGGTATGATAATGACCAAGGTAATTTCTAATTTTCCATTTTTTTTAAATAACATTTATTATTTACATCGTTTTAAATAAAATATTTTACCAAGTCATTGAGATAAATACGATTTAAATTTCTATGAAGAAATATGTTTGAGGGTATCATGTAATTGACATTTCTGGTTTTTGTTAAATGCAATTTAATATGTGAAGTTAACTGAGTTTTTATAATTTAGCCAGCAATAAACACAATTAGTAGGTAACTGTATTATTTTTGTCGCTACTATACTTACCTTCTCTGGGACAGCAAATACGCAATTCTAATAATGTTTAATCAAGACCAAAAAGATAAGATGTTGTCCTTTTTCTTTTCATTTAGTTATATTTTTTTTGTCTCTTTTCTTTCAGTTTGTACAATTCTCTTTTTTTCTTTCTTTCTCACTTCAGTACCCCTGTTTAGAGATCTGTAGAGCCACTTCCCAAAACTCGTGTCCTTCAAAACATCTGAGGGCCGTCGCATAGCGAACGTATTTAGACCTAGAATTATTCGTCTACTTTTTAATCCAAGACCAAACATCGCCTAAGTTAATTTTTTTATTACCAAAAATAACACCCAATTTCTGGACATCTTTTCTTCCCATACAGGTTTAATTTACGTTACAAGACGTTGCAGGGAAAGCTGTCAAACAAAAATAGAGATTTTTTTAACTAAAAGACCACGAAGGTTTTCCAACAATAAACAGGAAACCTGCTAAAAATAACAGAAAACTTCTACACTGTACTATATCCAAGTAGTCAACAAATACGGCACATTATGAAACCATCTTTGTAGTTTGTTACCTTTGTTTCAATTGTTATGTACAGGTTAAAAAAAATCGAAACTCAAAATTTTTAAAAAATGCTTTTTATTAACTTCAATAAATACAAACAACTTTGGACATATATTAAAAATAAGTAAAAGAAGTAAATTACTATTATTAAATAAAACACAATATTTCAGTCATCTGTATCCACTTCAAATGCATCGCTGGACTCTGGCAGCTTCTGAAATCTCTCATTCGTCTTCTTCCAAATGGATTGTTTCTTTGTTTCAGTCGGAATTGAAGTCACTTTTGTATTGGCGGCCCCGATTCCCGTAGTACCTTCGTTTGATGTCGGTTTGATCTGTGAGAAAGTTTTGAAACTTTAGTTTATAATTTATTAAATTGTTTGTGTTTTAGAACAAATTTATTTATTCCCTCAAGTATAAATGTCTTTTACGTATATCTACAATTTAAACCCAACCACTGTTTGGTTTTGCAGTTAGTTTCCCAAGTACTCCAAAAGTTCACTGAAGACGGACTCTTTAGTCCGAAAATTTTGGATTTTAATTTTTTAATTAAAAATTATACCGCTTAAAACAGAAGTTTTTACTTCGATGTTCGAGTTTTTTAACTAACATGGTATACAGCCAACTCTCGGGAACTATCCCATTTTACGGTTATTAAAAGATGTTCCACATGACACTTCTCTTTTAAAACACTTTTAGAGGTCCACAAGCAATTCAATAAAAATTCAACTGTACAAAGAATATTACTATCTGAATTATAAACTTACCGGTTCAAGAAGACCATCGCCAGTCTTGCCCAACGATTCCCCTTCTTTCCATCCCATTTTCTGCAGTAGTTTGAACCCTTTATTCTCTTTATTGATCGACCTGTAAACAGATTCTATAAATTTTCGAGATCTATATACAGTATGCGGTACTCATACTCATCTACAGAAGCTACTTGAGTTTTTTCATGAGGATTTTGACTCCCGACAGTTTCCCTTCTCTTCTGGGCCCGATCGGTGTATCCGCTTGCCAGTTTAGAGTCTCCTTCGTACTCCGACACACCGTAGCGCATTTTCAAACCTTTTAATTCCTTTTTATGGTTAGTAGATTTGCTGTAACTGTAGATCCTTCCTTGTAATGGTTCTGAAATAGATATGATTGAATTTATCTAACAATAAAGCACCAAAAACTTTTATTTTCAACATTTATTTTAAATTATTATCACTACAGCTGTTTCGGCTAGAGTACCCTTTTATGTTCTACTATACGTTTGATAAAAGTTCTACCAGTTTGATCGATGTAAGTTTTTGAGCAGTCGACACATTTAAGTTTGTATACACTGCTGTGTAATTGCTTTTTCTTTTGGCTCTTATTGTTCTTATTACATTTGCGCAAGTTGTTCCTTGTTGCAAAGTGATTTTTGCTTAATGATATTCAGTTCTATCTCTAATTTATTTTTTGACATAAGAATTTGTATTAATCTATGTAACAAGTTGTTAAAAAGTCCATCATCAGTGTATTATTGCCAGGTATACATGAATCAAGCCACTAAATTTCTAGGTATACACCCTTAAAAAGTTACAAAATTTATTATGTGTTACATTGTTGTTGAAACTATGGTGTGATGTTAAAGTATTTAACAAATACTCTGCATGAAAACGTAAGACTCCCAATAGGGGTTGTTGCTGACCCTCAGACTCAGTCTGAGACAATGATTTATTCAATTACTCAAGACATCTAATTAATTACTAAAAAATCAAATTAAAATACACTATTTTGTGAAAAATTTTGTAGGGACTCGAAGTCTGCGTTCAGAATGGCATGTGAGTTGAAAAAATAATGAGAAATTTCCGAAAAATGTCAAAAAATGCGTAACATTTTGTAAAATTTGGGAATAAGCCCAGCTATAAGAGATGTGCTTATTTTTACTTAAAGTATATATAATTAATTAAAATTGTTAAAGTATGCCAATATTAAACACATCAATTTACTTTTGATTTCTAAATTAAAACAAATTTTGAGACATTCATTAATATCAACATACTCCATAATACTGAATAACTAAACTTACAGTATTTAGTAATAGAAGAAGAACTGTCACACTTCAACCTACATATGTCAAATTTGCCTCTTAAATCTAATAGATTAAATATGAAAAAACTCATTACTTCCAACAGTGAGATGTAGTGCTTGCAGTTTCTTCCATTCCCCAAGTTTAAGTTTTAAATTCAATGTTTGTCCCGTCATTTAGTGTTTCTGTTCCTGTTAATGTGTGTTTAATTTGTCCCTGATTGTCTTAATTTGTAATAATTTTATATACTTTTTATATACTTTTTATATACTTGACTTTACAATAATTGATTAATTTTGCCAATAGACTTGATAATTACAAGTCAAAATAATTGCACAACCACACAATCGGTACAGCTACTCTTATTCATTGTCATAAAACTGTCTCCTTCATAACATAAATACTCAATAAATAACACACATTCCAAAAATATATCTCTGATATAAGTGTAAATCATTTTAAATAATACAATAGTAAAGAACATCACTTTCATCTGACAAACAACCACAATATACCTATCTCTAATTCATTGGATCAAATCTGTTCTCCTCAAGAACTTCCCGTTTATTGTCAAAACAACTGCAATAGCACATTAAAGTTTTCCAATCAACAATACATAATTTTTGCAACCATGACCTACCATCCATCAATTAATAGAGTACCGGCATGTAAGTAATGTTTGTTTTGTTTTATTTATCTGCTTATTTATTAATTTATTACAATATAATATTACTACTTTATACCAATTGTGGGTCTTACCTTGTCTGTTAATACCTTTTATATATTCAAATTTATTCATTTTGAAAACCACAGACATGTAATATTGGCATAATTACTATAATTTGTATGAACTAACTTATTTGTTTATTTTATCTTTATTAGACACCACCCTAATTGGGTTTATTTTATTGCAGCATTAGTTTAACTTTGTATCTAGACCTGAAGATGCTTTGCAAATTGTAGAAAGCGAAACCGGTCGTCTGATTGTTAAATTAAATTGATTGTGAGTAAGTCTTATTATTATTTCTTTACCTATTTAAAGTATATACTTTTCAACATGTTTTATTAAAATTTGAAAGAAAATAAAAGATATGTTTTTGAGATAGAATTTTTTTAAGAAAAAAAGGGTTTTCGAAATTTACGAATTTACCTTAACAGTTAGACAATTTTAACACCGGGATCATGTCAGCGAAAAATTTTACATCGACATTCAGGGGGACCGACGCGCGACTGCTTTACATGCCCTCCCAAGATCGGGGAAGACCCGTTATCATTTTTAGAAATGAAATTGCCGTTGTTGGTGCCAAGAATCGATATCCTGTGCTTTGGTTTAGAAGGCCAGTATGTTGTCCGCTGAGTTATTGCCACCTCACGGGTAATAGCAAGTATCGGCACTATATAACTTTTATTATTTAACCCTACAAAGCTTAATTTTTTAATTTGGATTGGAAAAAAATATATGTATAGCTATTTTATACAGAAGTCCGAAAAAAATAATTAAAAAAATGTAAAGTTATTTGTTTTTAATTTCAGGACATTTTTGGTCATGTATCAAATTTGATACAAAGTGCATTTGGGGAAAATTATATATAGGAAATAAAATTCTTAAATACCTTTGTAATGTAATATTTTTATTGATGGAAGTCAAAGAAACAGTTTGAATCCTTATTAAAACATAAGTGCAAACCACATTTGTCACATTTAACATAGGTTAATTTTTTACAATTTGGCTTTTTGCATCGGGTTCGATCGCTAGTGTAGATTGGCCAATGTCCTACAGCATCGGTTCGGATATCTTTTGGGGGAATATAACTTGTTGGCCCTTTCTTTTTCTTCAATTGTATATCCTGTTCAATAGAACTTGTAGATGGTCGTCCTCGCTTGCTTGATAAATTTTGCATACCTGCTCTGCACAGGCAGTCAGCTACCTCAATTCTAAAATTGACCAACGGCACAGACTTGGTACCATTTTCTTTGCATACTCGTTTATAAAAAATCCAACTATTTACAAGTGTGAGATCTACAAGGTGGAAAAAAATTCGTAAGTACCACTTTTTTGTACGGAGTTTAATTTTGTATCTACCGATGAGACTGTCTAATAGGTCTACTCCACCCATGTGTCTGTTATATTCTTTGACCCAGATGTGGACATGATATCTGGATTTTCTTATTTTCTCTTTTGTCAAACCTATCTACTTCTTGCATAGGCAACTGTCCAGCAAAATTAGATATAAGTGTAACAGCTTTGTTATCTTTCCAAATAACGGTAGATATATCAACACCTTCTGCATTTGATACATACTCGTAGGATGTTCCTCTTTCTTGCTTCTTTATCTCATTATTTGAAGGCAATTTGCAATTTGGAATCCTATTCCTTCTAATAGTGCCCAGCGAATAAATGCCTTGGTTAGCTAAATATAATACTAAGGAAACTGATGAATAGTAGTTGTCGAAGTAAACCCTGAAGAATTGATTTTTAGGAATATTTCAACACAATCTAACGACTACATTGGCACTAGCCCCCAGATCTGGTTCTGTATTTAGACGAGCTCTATTTTCTTGGCCAGTGTAAATTTCAAATTGATAAGAAAAGCCACTTACAACTGAAACAGTTTAAATCCCCATTTATGTGGTTTAAGGGGCAAGTATTGTTTTAGATAATGCCTGGCCTTAGTTGCACATAGTTGTTCATCTACACATAAATATTGTTCATGAGGTATACTCCCAAATTTCAAATTTAAATGTTCTACATTTCTCAATTTATAAAGACGATCTGCTTGTGGATCATCCTTAGCTTTCATTTTTGAGTTATCTGTAAAATGAATCACTTTTCTGACATGATCAAAAGCATGTTGGCTCATTGTTTCTTTTATTTGGGACACTCCAATATTTTTAGACCAGTAGCAACATGCATTAGGCAAATGGATGACTGACATATAGAGCAATATTCCAATAAATTTACTGATGTCATCTGTACCAATGTTGGCTGGCTTAGCAGGATTATTTTGAACACTGTATAAATTAGATTGGTTGACAATCTCTTGCAATAGATTGTCGTCAAAAAAATATTTAAAAAATGAAATGCAGTAGACATATCTTGTACACATGCAGGTAATGAAGAATCACTTTTGAATGCTAAAACATCTTCATTTAACAGTAAATTTCTTTTTTTCCATAAAATACTTTTGAATTTGTCTTTAAATAAATGCAAATCATTAGGATTTTCATCTAAGTCTTCCCTAATATATTCGTTTTCGGTCTCATTAACGTTTTCATCTAATTCATTTGTTATGTCTCCAATATTCTCTATTTGTTCTCCGTCATTTTCTGCTGTATTTTCCAGATCTGCCCCACTCAACTCATCTTCAAATACCACTAGAATATTTGATATGTCTATATTTTCTAAACCTACATCATCATTTAAGTTCCCAATATCACTTACATCACAATCGTCTTCACTATCATTCCAATTGTCGACTATTTCTTGCAATTCTTTATCTGATAGAGGTTTTTTCATACACCAGTTAGACATCTAAAATAATATCAAAATTACATTCTGTATCATAAATGATACAAACAAATTATTTACCGTACCTCATAAAATAATGGTAGATGCTCGATAAAACTAATACTAGATGACTTGTGGATGTGTAATAAACAGTAAACACAATTTTGCACCCTCAATTTTCAATAATAATCACCTATATAATGTTTCAAAACTCAGCGTTATCGTCAACACGACCGTTAAGTGATAACTGACCAATTCGCGCGATTTATAAAATATTAGACGACGTTTCAAGGTTACAAAATGTATATATCTAATAGAGTGGTATATATCGAATATGTTACATAGTGTTGTTTGGATTTAATTTTATTTCACTGTGTTTACCATGTAAATTCTCGGTATATTTCATATATGATACATTGAGCAGTGTAGGTTAAGTTATTTTATATCTCCTGTCAAAATTTCAAGTAAATCGATTCAGTTTAAACGAATTTGCAGATAATATAAAGAAATAAAAGAGAAGTAAGAAACTGTTTTGATTACCCTTGGATTATATTATATTCTAAAGAAACTACAACTAGTGTTATTCATTCCAGATTATAGACCTACCTGCAACTTGAATAAGTCCTGGTTCACAATGCCCGCACGTCTGATTACCTTCATGTATATGGCACAACAAAACAGTCTGGCCTATTTGGATCTTACTGCCATGGACTACATCCATAGCATCGCTTTCCTGTTTGGACGGTGACATTCTTGCTCCGTTAAGTAAAGTTCCGTTCCTAGATCCCAGATCCACTGCTTGATACTGTCCACCTTTTTCGTCAAAGGTGATTTTTAGATGGTGTTTACTGGCGTTGGGATCTTTCAGAAGAATAGAATGTGCCCCTTCCCGACCTAGTGATCCTCCACTGCAAGTTATTATGTGTAGTGACCCCTTCTTTAATCCCGGTATTTCTGTGGATTCGACTATGATGCGCATACAGGGTGGCCAACTTTTAGATATATCTGAAATATTAGAATGTTGGGTATCTTTGATACATTTTTTATGCTAGATAACTAAAAATAACATACAATCTTTGGTTTTCTAATAAAAATTAATGTGCAAAGTGTATTTTCTGAAATTTTTTATGCTAACCACTCGCATAGGTTAAACCAAGTGGAAGAATTCAAACCAGAATCTTTGAACATTCCATTTAAGTCCCAATTCTGACTAAATTCTGACTCAATTCTTCTGAATTATCTGAAAAGCCATGGAAATTGAAAAACACACTAATTGCCTAATAAAAGAGATGAATATGCTGAGTTACCTTAAGGGCTCTACTCAATCAAAGTAAACTAGTGTCCACTTCATCAATTAAGTGTTTACTAAAGGAGTCATTCTGAGGATTCAAGAGACTAGTATCCTCAAAGTCCTAATGAAAAGTCCATACCGAAAGGCAAAAGTTTGACATAACAAAATCCAACTTGGATCAACCTGCTGACTGAACGTAGTGTATATATTTCTTTAACTCTATAGTTTAGAAGGGATCATTTATTGTTCATAGATTTAAAAAACGAGCAAAACTTTGCAATGAGAAATTATGTCATACTTTTAAAAAACTTTTATCAATGGGATATGGGTCCATTTCTACACTCCAGGTATGAAGAGAAAGACAAAGTAATGGAGAAAAAACGGGAAAGGTCCACCAAATACGGTGTAGACTAGCCGATCAAAAAACAAATGTGATTGTGTTTGATGCATCAGGATGGGATAGGTCTATCAAGCTGTTTTGATACGGAATTGAGAAAAAGTGCTGTTCTATTCATATAAATTCAGAACATACTCTAAAGACTGGCATTGCACAGCAAAATTAACAACCATTGTGATATGAATTGATCTACCACCCACCCTAATTGCAGATTAAGCGCCATGTGACAATGTCCTGTTCCTAAATTTAAAAAGGGATGCCACTTTGCAATGAAAAAAGATGTTATAGTTGCACTATTTTGAGAATCATATGCATAATTACTGTTCGCAAGGGATAACAATGTCTCAAAATCATCTTATTTAGTGTATTGAGCAAAAAGAAAACTATATTGACAAAATAAATTAGATAAAATCATATATGTATGTTGTAAAACCTCATATATTATTGTTGTTTAACTATTGTATTATTTTTATTCATTTAAAATACAAAATAACACAATTTTCTTATAATTTGAATTATCTAAATGGTGTGAAACTATTAAGAAAAACCAAAAATAAAAAATAACTACCACTAGAATCAGAATCAACCTCTCCACCATCACTGTTTGTATCACTAGCTGAGCATTCGCCTTCTTCTATGTTATCAATTTCTTGGCCATCTTCATTGTCAGTTCTGGAGATTTTCTTGGCCTGAAATAATAATTTCATGTTACTTATTATGATACATACCCAGGGCATTAGTTCGAAGAGTATTTATGTTCATTTTATTGAAAGATTGCAATAATTCGTCCATATCAGAAGAAGTCTTTACCTGAAAATGAAAATGTTGAAATTAGTATAATAAAAAAACCTTATTTATGGTTGAATTAATAAAATATTTTCCAAAAAATAATTAAGAATCCTTATGAAGTAGCTCTATGATGATAGATCTACCTAATTGGATCCACAAACTTTTTTTGTTGTCATAATCCTGTTTCATATATTACATATTCAACCACCAACAACAAGCAATTTAGGAATTAAAATGTAGGTCAGCCAATATTCAAAACTTACTTTAATTTTATGTTTCTTTTTCCTTTTTTGAATAGTATTTTCTGTTCTGCATGCATCTGAGCTAGGTACTGCAACCTGGGAATGATATTCATATGTCTGTGTCTCAGAATTATATTGCAAATACTTGCCAGTGGTACCATCATAATACAAACCATATTCCTACAAAAAGCTCTAAATTAATCAGATAAGAACACTACATTGTACAAATGAGCCTCTATCTCAGATACACATACATTTATATAAATGAAAAGTAAATAAATACTGATTCTTACTGCATTATAATAGTATCCAGTATTGTAGTCATAATAGAGTCCTGAAGTTTCTTCATAGACAAACCCAGTTTTTTGCATAGCAATTTCTGCTGCTTCTTTAATGTCATCTACTAGGCTCTTCTGAGTGTTTTCAGCAGTTTCTATAGCCTCTGTATTATCATTAACTGAATATGATTCCTCTAGATCGGTCTGTGTACTACTTTCTTTACATCTAGCTTTTACCTACAAACAATATGTTGTATATAGTTATTAATTGAATAGACTACACTATAAACCTTTAATTTGTTCCGTAGTTTATTAATCTTCTTTAGATGTTTTTTAATGATTGATTCCAGCTTCTTAATATACTCTAGGGCCTCTGGAAACTCTTCCAGTAGTTTCCTCTTCAAATTCGTATCACATTTCTGTATTATATCGGATTCACTGCACGACGAGTCACTAGTTTTAGTTGTTTCCGACTGTTCTACTTCGATATCCATTTTTACTTATAAGTGATTTTATTTCACAATTAAATAGCAATCATAACATCAACATTTCATTTAATTCCACATTCCACCTGATTTCACTTGACTTAGTTGACAGTAGTTGACAGAAAACAGTTAAGAATATGTCATTTGTCAACTGTCATGACGTTCTAGAGTTAGGTACTGACTATGAGTACAATTTCACAATTTTTTGATTAACAAAAATTCTTTATTATTGAAACTGTGGATTTTGTATAACTACAGAAAAATTTCAATATGGATCTTAAACTGTTATTTCTTTTCTTTTACCTCTGAATAAGAAAACAACTTTTGTATTATATGTAGTATAATTTATGTGTACATATTTTAAATATTTGCTTAAATATTAAAATTCACATACATTCTGATCAAAGACTTTATCAATATATAAAACAAAAATATAGGAAACCAAATATAAATAATGAATAGGAGAATTTGAGAACTTGTATTGAAAAAATAGTTTCTGACGGAAACATAAAATATGAAACAGGAAAGGACTACAACAATCAAATCAACAAGTGAAAAATGCGGTAATTGGAACGAAACGTATATATCAGAAGAATCTAAAATACCGAAAACGTGGCAAACGGGACAAGTTATATTACTGTTTAAAAAGACGACATTAACAATTACGAAAACTACAAAGGGTATCAGTCGACTCCCGGTGTGATCACGATGTTTGTTATAGGAATTAATTTACCGTCAGTAAGTTTATTAGCCATTACCCTCGCTAATTTGGATGATGCAAACGTACTGTTGGCACTTTTACTTGTTGTAATGAAAGCTGGGATATTCCAATAACAAATAATTTATTTATGTTGAAATATAGCTACTACTTTGATAATATTTTTATTTAATGTAAATAAATGTCACTAGTATATTTAACTATTTTATTTTGTAAATACGTAGTACAAAATTATTAAATTAAATTGCTTCTTATATAAATTTCTAAGAATAGAAAGTTTGAAAGTGGCAACGTTGCCTTTTTGTTGTCCAAAAAATTGAGGTTAACTATTGGATGATGATACAGTAATGGGAAGGGTTTTTAAAATTATTATTGGAGATGTTCAAAGAGTGGTGGAATTGTGAAATTATTTAACACTACATCCGAAAAATGCAGTGTGCAGTACTAAATACGGTTCTTTAGTTTTACAAGTGAAAACGTTGTGTCTTTAATCGTGATTTTTCCCTTCGTCAATTTATCATGGATCATTGGCCAAAAGATGTTGGTATTTTAGCCCTAGAGCTGTATATTCCCTCTTTATACGTGGACCAAACCGAATTAGAAGTATATGATGGAGTCTCTACAGGAAAATACACAATTGGTTTGGGCCAAAAAAAGATGGGGTTTTGTACTGACAGAGAAGATATCAACTCATTGTGTCTTACCGCAGTTCAGAAATTAATGGAAAACTATAACATTAGTCCACAAGAAATAGGCCGTTTGGAAGTTGGCACTGAAACTATAATTGATAAATCAAAAAGTGTTAAAACAGTTCTTATGCAGTTGTTTGAACCCCATGGTATTACTGATATAGAAGGTGTAGATACAACTAATGCTTGTTATGGTGGTACAGCAGCACTCATCAATGCTGTGTCTTGGATAGAGTCTTCTTCCTGGAATGGAAGGTAAGTCCACAAAAATATTCTTTAATCATAATTGTAAAGGTACTCCAAGATTATCTATTACTACCATTCAAAAGTGCTATGAATTTTAAATTATATGACAACTATAAAGGTTTGCTTTTTTGGTGGGGTGTGTTTTAATGTGTTCATGTTTTCTTTATCAGGAATGTTCAGCACAGAAGAGAGTTCTTAGTTTTCGGTGTTACAATAGTTATCCATTTATTTATTCTGTAAATCACAAATTATCTAGTGCATGTCATCTGTATATATTTTATATTTCAATTTGGAATATTTGCTACAATGGATTTATTATTTTCCTCAAGTGTTTGGACATAATATCATATATCTAATAATTTTTATGCATTTGATTTATTGACAAATATTGTCACCAGAAGTTTTTGATCTATTTAATCAAATTTGTATAGTTGTCAATGTAAATCATCAGCAGGTTTTATTGTTGTTTTGTTTTATGTCTAGTATAGCTCACCACTGCGTTTATTAATTTTTTACTTCAGTAAAGACTCAGTAGCATTTTCAGCTATTATTTCCTACTGTTCCCAGTGTCAGTTTAACGCAGTCTGCCGCCCGATGCTGATACAGTTGCCACCAGGTTCAAAAATATTTGTTTATTTCAATTCAACAAAACATATTTTGAATATAAGTTTATTAAAATAAGGAAAACAATTACAACATTTTTGGTTTCCAGCTTAAATGAATACTAATAAAATACAAGTAAAAAAATTAAGGGCAAACTTCAAAAAGTAAAATAAAAATGTTCCTAATTCAAATAGGTAACATGAGGTAGGTAATCAAATACCTTTACTATTGAAAAGCTTGTTTTCTTGCTTTTACTGAAGCAAAGTTTTCGATGATATCATTTATATTTAATTCATTTAACAAGGTCCTCGTTAATGGAAAAAACTGCTAAGAAGTTCAAATGTTCTTGAGAAATTGCATTTCTTAAGTAGGTCTTTACACTTTTTAGTATCGAAAGAGAGCGTTCGCCAGTGCATTTAATGTTTGGAAATGAATATTATTAATTTATTTTCATATAAAATCTGTACCAATTCTAAAGAAGTATCTATTTGTAATTGGGGAAGGGATGTTAACAAATGCTTTAAATGAATACATTCTTGGGGAAAATACTCGTCCAAATCCTCCTTGTATTTTTGTTGTAATTTGGTTGCTGATATGAAAATATCTTCATCTTTTGTAGTTTTTAGTTTAAACAAAAATTCAAATGCTCTGTTATAAAAACCTAACATTCTGTTCGCATTTTTTCTTTTTAGCTTAAACTTGCCTCTGAATTCTTTTTGCCTAATTGAAATTTGTTCTGATAATCCTCTTCTCAGCATAATTTTCGTTCCCTTTTAACAACATTCCTAAGGCTTCGTAGTGATCAAAACGATCACGTAAGAAATCAAAGTAATCTGCTAAAGGTGATAACAGATGAGCGGTTGTGCTTAAATCCATATTTTCCTTTTATACTGCTTTATTCACCTTATTAATCCTTTGTAAAGTGCCAGAATGATAAAATTATTCCGTTTTCCAACAAATCAAGTTTTTGCGATACAGAAGCTGCTTCAACTCTTATTACATTGTGCCCATTTACATCCGTTGACGTTTCAATCAAACATGTTTTAATCAAACCGTAATTGCTTTTTATCGCTGCATCCAAACAAGAAGACCAACGGGTTGTATGGTAACAGTATCTGCCCGCCTCAGGCGAATCCTTTATTGGAGGCGAGACAATAACTCCCAGCCATGTGTAGACACGGATGAAAAATTGTAAATATCTTGTACCAATATAAAAAAACATGTTGCTTCCATACAACAATTTGCTGCTTTTTGGACAACCAAATTTAAAGAGGGTGCAGCACACAGTACAAAGAGAGCTAAATCATTGTAAACTTTAATATGTGCTTACAAACCAGAGTATGTGCCACTTATATTACTGGTATTGTCATAAGACTGGCCTCTACGGTTCTTAATATCTAATTTCAAAGACTATAACATACTAATAACTGTTTCCTCAAGTTCTTGTGAGCTATGCCCAGTGTTTTTATAAAATCCCACCAATCTTTCCATGGGATTCCCTTTATTGTTACAATATCCAAAATCACTGTAAGTTAGTCATGGTGTTAAATTTACACTTATAGAATAATATTTGTTTGCCTTAATTTGCCTAACAATTTTATCAATGACTAGATTGGACAAAATATTCAGTTATTTGTTACATATATGTTTTGATAGATATGACATTTTGCCCTTACCTAAATTTTCTTGTTTAATATTATCTTTTAAAAATGGATTATATTCTGACAATAGTTCCAGTAAACCTAAGTAGCTTCTATTATGTTTTTTGTCAATTCTTTCAAGAGTACCTCTAAATGCCAATTTCCTGGTAGCCAGAAACTTTATTACACTTATGATTCTTTCTAGTACTTTAACACAATATTCTTTCGCAGTGTTAATTTGATTTTCGAGTTCTACATCAACTCTTCCTTGCTTTAATAAGCAAGTCGTATAAATTTTCAGATTATCTATACCCTTGGATCTTTCATGTTCGTCAAATCTTTCCTACTTTTATTCTGTGATGAAAATCCTGTTTTAAATTGGTTCTTATTTTTCAAATAAGATATAATAAAGAAATAAAATATATTGCCAGTGCTCTCGGAGTAAATTGCCCAATTGCAGCAAACTACTTCGACAATAACCAGTTTTTTATAAACTATTCGCTTATGGGCATACCTATTTTGTTCGCCAAAATTTCTTTTTGACATTGAAAAGTCCATATTTGTAAGATTCTGTTCGACCCATTTTTCTAGAATCATTTCTGCATAATTATGGCAATTATCCAAAGTGCTGGATCTTTAAAATGCGATATCATTTGGATTTGTATGCAAATTTTATTTTACCATAACCATTTAAGCGCGTTTAAACAGCGTTGACTGTTCCCAATGGTTGTATTGTCTCATTAATTAATGTTGTGAATATAAACTTCATAGATTTAATTACTCAACAAAAATTATATATCTGTGAGTATTAGGGGAGTACGAATTTTCCAGTTAGTTTTCAGAAAAACTCATTTATGGATCTTTAGATCATAAAAAACTTCTTGTTTGATTTTGTAAACATTAAAATTGGTAAATATCTATCAGAAAATCAACAAAAGCCGTCTTTTTGTAGTGTTAATAACCTTTGAATACTGACTGAAGTTGTACTTAACATAGAGATCAGAAGTCCAATTTCAACCAAATATGTTTAGTAGTTTATTACTTATTTTCTAATGTTTATCCTAGATACCAAATGTTTAAACAACTGTTTGTGATTTAGTAATGCTTGTATGTAAATGAGTTATAAAGTAGAATGAATTCTTGAAGCTTTGACATTTAAGATAAGTTGAAAAGTGAAGTATTTATTTAAAAACTATTGTTAAAAATTTAGTATAAAAGAGGAGGATTTTGGCTTCTTCTTCTTTAAGTGCCGTCTCCCAATCGGAGGTTGGATATCATCATCACTATCTTTACTTTATCTAATGCTGCTCTGAAGAGTTCTATAGAACTGTATTTAAACCAGTCCCTTAAATTCTGCAACCATGACACTCTCCTTCCTTCCCTATACTCCTTCCTCCTCTTATCTTTCCCTGTATTATCAGTCTTAGCAGTTTATATCGCTGTCCCCTCATTACAGGTCCCAGATATTGTAACTATTTTATTTTTATTGTGTTTATTATTTCGCATCCTTTTCCCAAATCTTGGAATACTTCCGTGTTAGTTTACTTCTGTGTCCATGCTATTCTATGCATCCTCCTGTAACACCGCATTTCAAAGGACTGTAACTTATTTATGTGTTCTTGCTTCAATGTCCAGTTTTCAAGTCCATATTGCAGTATCGAAAACACATAGCATATCAGTGCTCTTACTCTCAGTTCTAGTCTAGGATTTTGGCTAATAAATAATAATAAACAATCTTTGCTATAGTTTCCAATACACTTTGTAATAAATTGTACTTAAAAGTAGACGTTGAAGGTTTGAAGTTAATTAAAAGCAGATATCATAGTGTTCGTAGATTTAAATCTGTATCCAACTTCGCATATGAAAATGTATCTGCAACTTTTCTTTCCCTCAGCCCACCCTGCAATTTACCATCACTTTATTTAGAGATTTTTTGTACTCCCTGCATAATTTTCTATCATTTTACCAGCTTTTATTGCAATTTAATGAATATGTGTATCGTTGCAAAGAATAAAGGTATTCATCTAAAAAAAAAAAAAAAAATTGTTAAAATCCTTTATAAAAGGTATATAAAAATGCCTCAAACGGGCTATCACAAACACATTGCAAAATGTTTTCGGATTAAATAATCCATCATCAGTGCAAACGGTTGTACATGCTAGTAGCCACCAAAATATATGGGTAAAAACCTTTTAAATGTTATAAATTTGAAGTTGTTTTACATTATTAGTATTACTAATTTGTGATGGTTAAGTTACTGTTGGATAGGTAATATGGCGTTACCTATCCATTAGTAATTAGTAATACTAGTAATGTAAAACAACTTCAAATTTATAACATTTAAAGGGTTTTTACCCATATATTTTGGTGGCTACTAGCATGTACAACCGTTTGCACTGATGATGGATTGTTTAATCCGAAAACGTTTTGCAATGTGTTTGTGATAGCCCGTTTGAGGCATTTTTATATACCTTTTATAAAGGATTTTAACAAAATTTTTTTGTGATATATGGTATACAGCCAGCTACAGGAACTTAGTTTCCTCGTGGAATTTTGTATTCATCTAAATTTTTAACAACAATTGTTGATTTTTAGAAGTTGCCTTAAAGTTTAAAGATTCAAGTATTCATAATACTTTTATATAATTTTTCTAGGGACATTATTTTATTAAGTATTTCTCCATCAAATGTTTTGGTTCTGAGGTAACAATGTAATATATCTATAGTACATTTGAAAATTATTGATAGCACAAATTTTATAGCAATGGTCTAAATAAAGGATTTGTCAATGCAGATAAAAATGGAATAATGAATACCTTCTTATCTGAATTTTCACTCGACTTTAATATGACCACCCCGACAAACCACAAAAACAATACATCATAAAAGGCAAATGAGCAAACCCTAAGGGATTAGCAGTAACTGAACGTCTCAGTGACAGAGAACATAAAATTACTTTAATATAAAAAAACTAAAATGCTGATATTACATAGGTACCCACATTATTTTTTTATAAAAATACTAAATATTGGTTTAGGACATTTCCTTACAATTTAATAATAAATATATTTCGGGTACTAGCATCATATAAGCTTATAATTAGTAATCTTCTTAAACTGCCCTCTCCATTCTGAAGGTTGGCTTTAACTACAGCAAATTGCTCTGTCTTGAGCTGTTATTAGTATCGAATGTGTGTCCATGGCTGTCCTCTTACATTTTTCAGCTAGGAGCATTTTCTTCTTCCTGGACCTCTTCTTCCTTCTACTTTCCCTTCCATTATTAGTCGTAGGAGGTTGTATTTTTCTCCTCTGTAAATGTGGCCTAAATAACTCGTTTTTCTGGTTTTTACAATATTTAGGAGTTCTCTCTCAGTCCCCATTCTTCTCAGCACGTTGTTGTTGGTTACATGCTCTGTCCAGGAAATCTTCAGTATCCTTCGAAAAACCCCCATCTCAAAGGCTTCTACACGTCTCATACTTGTGATTCCGAGAGCCCATTTTTCCACTCCGTATAGCAATATGGAATAAATGAATGTTTTTACAAATTGGTATCGGATATCCAAAGATAAGGTAGAATTTATTAAAATTTTTTTATTCTTTGAAAAGTGGACCTAGCATACTCTATACGAGCACCTATTCCAACTTCATAGTCAAGATCGTTTGTTATCCAGCAATCAAGATACTCGAATTTCTGTAAGGGTTCTATCTGTTTGTTGTAAACACCAATATTAATGTCTGCATTTGATGCACATGTAACGGCCTTTACTTCTGTTTTATTTGTGTTTATATTCAGCCCCAAGCTATCTCCCTCTCTGGTTATGGCATTCAAAAGTCGTTGCAAACCCTCAGCACTGCCCGAAATAATGAAGGTATCGTCTGATCGTATCATCATTTGTTTACATATTCTCCATTGATTTTTATTCCTTCTTCAATATTTTCGAGGGCATTTTGGATGATCTTTTTGGAATATATATTAAACAATAGTGTAGCCCTGGCGAACTTCTCTTTTTATTGACATTTCTGCTGTCAGTAATATAAAAATATAATTACATACCTAAATACAGAAGATGTCTTCTTCCGAGAAGGAGGCATCATAATCATGACCAGTTTCTTTATTTCCTTCAGAAATAATAATTGGTTTTATTGTTTCCTCTATTAACATCGAGTTTCTAGAATGTTTCTTCCTGTGCTATGACAAGGCTTATAGCTTTTTGCCAATTTTCATAAGAAATTTTTGATATGGAATCATATAATAATTAACGAACATCTTGAAGTTTAAATGTATTATTTCTCACAACATATCCCTTCATTTGTGCCCAGATTAGTTCTGTGGGGTTAAGTTCACAGTGATAAGGTGGTAATCGTAACAGTTTAACTCCATGTTCTTTTGACATTCCATCTACACTATACTTCTTAAATTTTGGTGAATATTGTTTGCATAACTGCAATAACTCTTTTTTGAGTAAACCTTCTTCTGGCACTACTATTTCTTTGAATATTAGATAATCCAAGAGTTCTTGATTTCTCCATTTAGTGTTAGGTAACATTTGCTTTAATCTTGAGTGGTAACTGGCATTGTCCATGAGTATTAATTAAAGCATTGGTTTGTAACAAATCTATCATTTGACAGAAATATTCATAGAATTGAAATAAAATCTAGCAAGTCTCCATCAACAAATCCTTTATCTCCTCCAATGTGAGTATAATTAAACAGATACTTTTACCATTTGGGAGTTTTTATGCCCTTTACAATGCCCTTCATTTATCCATGTTTCATATAAATAAAAAATATTTTTATCTTCTCTTCTCAAATTTCGAATCCCTCAATATATTGCCTCCTCGCAGAAACGAATCCTAATTCATGTAAAGTTTTCCACAATGTATCTCCTTTAATGTTTGAAAAAGATTCGTTTTCATTAATGTCTACTAAAACCTTATCCAAAGTAGGAATTTTTTTTTTTGTAAATAAAATGAATGAAATTTTTTTCGAATCGATTGTTTCACACTATCATCTATATGAATGGGTTTTCTCTATGTTGATGTTTTAGGTGCTTCTGTAATACTTCCACTCCTTCATTGCTTCAAAAGTCTATAAATAGTTAGTTGCTTCTACAACTCATTTAACTGTGCCAATTGCTTCAACAATTGGCACAGTTAAATGACACTTTAATTTCACAGGAGTAAAATTATACGTTTGTGACATTTTTACTACACAATTTCATGTATTAACATGGCTTTTTATTATAGGACTAACAATTCTGCATATTATAATCACAGTAGTTTACAAACACAACATATTAATCTAACTAATATGATTCACAATCTGCAAAACATATTCTGCCGATTGGAAATTTTAATCCTTTCTAAGAACATTTTCAGAACAATTTAAATTGTTGATGATGGAGTTTTTTAATATATATATACTTAAAGGATTTATTGATATTAAAGTTTAACAAACAAAGAGTGTTTCATGACCCAAAAAATTTTACCTGAGATTTCCCAGAAATTTCAGGACAGAACATTGTTGTTTTGTGACTTTGGCTGTTACTTAAAAAAACAATATTGCTACTTAAGTTTATACATATTCTTAGTATTCCCATATTAGTATTAACCATAAGTATATATAACAATTAAGTATTAACCATAAAATTCGATAAATTTCTTGGACATTGTAACCTTGTGCTAAAAATGTTGACATCTGACAAGTTTTTGGTAAAATGCTAACTGGTTTTAACAGCTGGGCTTCACACATGGCGAAATTAAGTTTCATTATGTCAATATACAGGGCTATATTTGATGTATAAATGGGCAATGGCAATACATTATTTTGTAATGATTATGAGATTGTCTTTAGGGAATCCATTAAGTCATTGGGGGAAATAATTGAACTGTGTAAGATTTTCAAGCGAAAAAATGCAATGGCGTTTAAAATGTCATTGAGGTAATTTTTTTAAAAGTATGTAGCTTTCCATTAATGATTCACACAAATCTAATATTTGTAATCGCGCCCGATAAAATCAGATGTTGTCAGCTATATCCATGAGGGTGGTTTTAATATCATTTCATTCATTCAATTCATTGTCGTTTCATTTTCATCAGTAGTTCTGAAATTTGTGGATGTGGATATAGAAAACTGACGCAAAGCAGTCCCTGCATCTCTGCCTAATGGGCCGGGTTTATCGAGCACGTGAGCTTCTCATTGGTCATTTAGGTCACGTGGTCGATAAACCTGACAAATTAGAAAGCGATGGAGAGATTGCTTTGCGTCAGTTTTCTCTATCGCACTGGTATTCGGTATATCGGGCTGGTATTGCAACGATCAGTCTATCTTGTATTATATTCGCTCCGTGCGTGACCATGGTAGGGATACATTGAAACGATGCCAGCGTGCGTAGCGGCGAAATATGACAAAATTGGAATATTGGACAAAATATTTTTACGCATAAATTTTATCAAAAATGTGTGCAAATCCATGTTGCGTATTTAATTGTGCTAATAATAGCAAAAACAGTGAGTGTAGTTTTAATAGGTTCCCAAAGATTACTTATAAATTAGAATAAAGAAAAAGATGAATTCGTGCTATTAATATGAAAAAGTAAATATCACATAATTTCATTTGTATGCAATTGAAATAGGAAAAATTTAAATAATTTACCTTGAATGATATTTCATAAGGCTTTAAGCTAACTGCAGATGACTTTAGCTTTTATATCATAACTTTTACTATTATTGTTTTTAATTATATGCTCTTTTGCGTGAAAAACTTGATTTGCCAGTACTAGATTTTTCCCTTTCTTTTCCGTTTGGAGTTGAAAAGATATATTATGATGAATTTTGAGAAACCCAGTTTTTAATACTACATTTATTTTGTACATAAACTGAAAAAATATAGTTAAAAAATTAATTTATTAATAATTGTCAATTTCGCATGTATTTAACAATGTCAAACATATGTCATATGTTTAACCTGAAAATTGGGACTCCAAAATTGTCAGATGAAGGCGGTAGGTGTCGCGTCAATCACGCACGGAGCGAATATGTCTATGGTATTATCGGAATTACAATTGTTAGGCCCTTATTTATTGATTTATTTTTATATTATTTACTAGATTGAAGATTTTAACGGTTTTCAAATTTTTATTCTATATAACAGATGAAATATTTACTGATAATCTTGGATGTACATAACCTTTAATCAAGTTTATCATATTTACTAGATACTAGGATGTTATATTTGTTACAGATATGCGATAGTAGTGGCAGCTGACATAGCAGTATACGCTAAAGGATCCGCTAGGCCTACAGGAGGAGCGGGTGCAGTTGCGATGTTATTAGGCCCTAATGCTCCTTTGGTAATCGATAGGGGTGTTCGTGCGACATACGTGAAACACGCCTACGATTTTTACAAGCCGGACCTCACTTCTGAGTATCCGGTAGTCGACGGCAAACTGTCAATTCAGTGCTACCTAAGTGCTTTAGACAACTGTTACTCTCTTTACAAGAAAAAAGTGGCGGAGAAGCATAAAAAGGATGTTACGCTGAAGGATTTCGACGCGGTACTATTCCACACCCCTTTCTGCAAACTGGTGCAAAAATCCGTAGGACGAATGGCTTTAAACGACTTTTTACAAAAGCCAGACCTGTACCCGTCTCTCGAAAAGTTCCAAAAGGTGAAACTAGAAGACAGTTACTTCGATAGAGACTTAGAAAAGGCCTTCGTAGATGTAAGTAAACAGCAATTTGTAGAAAAAACGCAACCGTCACTTTTGGTAGCGACCCAAGTCGGTAATATGTATACGTCTTCTTTGTACGGAGGATTAGTATCGTTATTAGTGAATAAAGAGCCTGAGGTTCTCGCAGGTAATAAAATCGTTTTGTTCTCTTACGGATCGGGCTTAGCAGCCTCTATGTTTTCTATAACGGTTAGTAATAACATTGATTCTCTAAAACGTATAATTTCAAATTCTTCGTTGGTGAAGTCGAGGCTGAAGCAGCGGGTTAAGTTTGAACCGAAAAAATTTGAGGCTAGCTTAGAATTAAGGCAGGAGACTTGTCACAAGGCTCCTTATGAGCCTGTCAGTAGTATAGAAGGCTATTTCCCGGGAACGTATTATTTGGTTAAAATAGACGATATGCATAGAAGGTTTTACAACAGGATTCCTTCGCTCACCAACGGGTATTCGTAGTCTTTTTTGAATAGGTAGTATTAATAGAGAATGGTATTACCGTGTTAAGAAAGTTATGCTGCATTTCAAAACATTCCTGGATAAAAGTCTTTACACTTTTGGTTATTATATGCGGTTGTTAAATTCATAAGGGTAGGAATTTTGTAAAAAAAATATATATTTTAAAAAGCACAGTACATTAAAGTATTTTAACAATGTAGAATCTCTAATTAAGCGGTTCATATGGCATGGAATATGCTGGCTTTGAGAAACTGATTAGTTGGAACAATGTTGTTTGTTGTGCGTAAATATGGACCTCATCGCTGATTCTTCAATGAAAATTTTTGTTCAGTTAGCAGAGTTCGCCAAGTTGTGGTCTGTGATAGGCCAGGCTCTTGCGAGCGACATGAAATCGAAATGACTTCGATACTTCTGCACACCTTAACAGATAGCGGTGATGTTTTCGGCAGATCTTGCATTTCGTCAAAGTACGGGTGTTAGTTGATTTTTTACTGAACCAGTGGACTTTTCGTAGGACGATTATGGTGACCATAAAATTGGCGAAGCATACGAAACGTTGACCGAATAGAATACATATTTTGCTTAAACAATTTTATCATTTGCACTTGTTGGAGTACGCTATATCCATCCTTAGTGATTTGGCACAACAGACTAAATAAATGACAGTCGATTTGACAGATGTTGTTTGAACAATATGGCCGCTACCAACTGTCAAAGTTAGGAAGTCCCTATTAGAAGACTATAGAGTGTAGCCCCAGATTTTGCTAGCTTGTGACCCTAGATATTTAATTATTTTTTTGTAGGGGTCGATTTTTTTTAATATTTTTTAAACTGGGTAATTATTTTTCTTTTGTAAGCGAAATCGATATTGGTAGATTTCCCTTCATTAATTTTTATGCGTCATATTTTATTATAAGTGGTTATTTTGTTAACAGCATTTTAAAGATGTCTAGTTGTTTCTTAGAATGATTTATCGACTGTTAGTATTGCATTGTCATCTGCAAATATGGCCAGTTTAATATTTTCCATAACAAGGGTGTCACAGGTATATAATAAATATAGTATGGGTCGCAGAACACTGCCCTGTGGGATTCCTGCATAGATTGATCGTTGTTCTGAATATTTGCCTTCCTATTTTAACTCTCAAAGTTCTGTCGTCCCATTAGCTGGAAATAGTGAATTTAAAGATAGCTTTTAAGTTTTAGTAACAAGCCTTTATGCCACACTTTATCGAAAGCTTTTGCTATGCTTACGAAAAAGCTGAGCATATTTTATTGTCTTCTATAATATTTGTTAGGCGATATATTTGGTCTATTCTTGAGTGGTTATTACAATATTATTCTTCTGTAGTAAACTTGAACACATTAACAATAGTTTCTCTTATTTGGGATTATAAATATTTATTTTTCACCGAACTTTCCATTCTAATTCCAAAATGTAGTCATTCCGACTCAAAGAAATATTTAAATGCTTGGCAACACTGCTGTGAATTTAACGTTAGGAACTCGATCTCTTTCGATTAACCTGGCATCACCCAGGTGAAAAATGTGTGTATAATAACCCAAGTTGGGTATTATTGACTCCATTTAACATTGATTGAAGAAACTCAACAAAAATTTCGAACACGAATTTATTTCTTTGAAATATCTGATGTTACTATCTAAGTTTTTATAAATAACAGCAGTTTTTACCACTGGATTAAATTTGACCGCGTATTAGGTAAAATTTGCAAAATAATAAAATTCCTACAAACAGAAAACTTTAGATACATAAAAAATTCACAAACAAAAGATAATGATTCAAAATAAGAGATTTTCCAAAAAAGTTTTTTCAAAAGGTTCAAATAAAAATATAAAAAAGCAGGACATTGGATATCCAAGCTTGAAAAAGTTAGGAGTCCCGAAACTGGATACATTCGTCGCAAATGCGATGAAGGTGATCTAAACTCTAAAAAAATAAAAAATTTGGCATTGATCGCACATTTGTTTAGTTTTCCGGGCAGATTTTCTGGAACACTTTTGACTAGTTTGGATCGTAAATGTTTTGTAAGTCGCGGATTACTTTTTCGTTCTCCCATAATTGGCGTAACTAATGCTTATCCCAGATCTTCCAGGAATATGAGACGTTTCTTTGAATAGTCACTAGTGTTTGTTCTGTAAATTACCTGGATGTTGATTTCAGCTGTGTCCATTAGTGAAAAAAATATTCTTAGTGGCCACCTTCTACAATTACGAGCTACACTTTAACTTCCTGTCAACTCATCCACCGTATCAACAAACTTCTTTTTAAAAACTGCCCTAATAAGAGCCAACCTTAATTGTCGATTATCTACATTATCGAAACGTAAACACTGCAATAAAAATGTAAATCTATTGAGTGCCATCTTTTCTAGTTCCATGACCTTTATCGATCGTTGGATATCATGTTGGCTACCATATTCGCTATCGTGACTTTATTGACAGCAGCTGTAAATAACGATGTAGTTCATTTTCCATACCATTGCCTCAGATTTTTCAGCCATGATGTTCTTCTACCAGGACCACGATTACCTTGGATCTTTTCCTGAATGATCAGATGTAAAAGATCATATTTTTCAGGGTGTCTCATAATGTGACCTAAGTATTCCAGCTTGCGTTTCTTTATTATATTGACCAGTTGTGTTGTTTGGTTCAGCTGTCTAAGGACCTCCTCGTTTCTAACTCTGTCGACCCAGCTTATTTTCAGTAGTCGTCTGTATACCCATATCTCAAAGTGCCATCACTGAACGAAACGTATCGATTCCTGCACCATTTGTTCGCCAAAGATCTTTTAGATTACGATGACCATTTCTATAGACACCCGCTAGGTAGAGGAGGCCAAATAATGCCTTTATTTCAACAATATTGGTTCTGCGACAATATGCTTTATCTTTGTAGGCTAACGCCTTTTTATCTATCAATACATTGGTGCAGACCGTAATACCTTCAAGCATTTCTTAAAAAAAATGAAGCCAGCAATCTAAAACAGTCTTAGCGTTTTTAGCATATGGTTTGGATCCTGGTAAGTTCGAAATTATGTTCTCTGCCTTCGTTCTAACTGCTTTATTACTATACAGTTTTCTCCATTTTGTTTTGGAATCCCTATCTAAATAATAAGAAATTTTTTTATCTTCTTTTCGCTTATTTTCAGATTCCAATACTTCTAGTTCCTCAATTTCTTTATTTTGTTCACCATCAGACTGATTACTTATGTGATCAATTTCGTTTTCATCGTCGGAGTCCATAATTTCGTACTCATCATCTTCGAGTTCCTGCCAAAGTGCCAATAGTTTGGCTTGTTCTTTTTTGTAATTCATTCTAGAGAAAAAAGTTTATATGTACAACAAATAACGCCACGAATTAAAATTGTCTTAGTTACCTCGCGAATTAAAATTGTGTCTTCGTCACCCAGGTGGGGTCTAATCGGATTACAGAAAACTGTACTCACTTTGACGATCAACTTACAACTGAAATTTATTGAGAATACCAACGGCAACATGTTTTAGAAAGCTATAGGCAACCAATAAAACATCCGTGTATTAACCATAGAATTATACTATGTAGTTCTAAGTGTGTTGGGGGTTCCATTAGACCCCACATGGGTGACGCCGGGTTAATGGTCAGAGAAGTTATTTCTCGCCGGTCATACTCTACTTTTTCTTAGCTTCATACGAAACATGACATCCCAAAGGGCGCTACGTACTTGATTAGATATTTTGAACACAGCCGTTTTCTCTTCTTCCATTGTCTCAGACCATTGCCAGTTGCACTCTACTTTTTTTACCATCTTTATATCATTTGATTTGGGTTTTTTTTATATCGATTTCACTAGTACTTTTTTACACCTCCATTTTTTGTGCAATCGCAAAATATTCATTTTTGATTTATGTATGTCCGTGTAGAGTCGTTGTATCTTCTTTCAATATTAATTATTATCAGAACCATAAATTCAAGACATTTCTTAAAATAAACACCATAATAGCTTTTTGACAACAACCTAATGACCACCAAAAAAAGATGATTTAGTTTATTTTTAATGAAACAATTTAGAGATGATTTTGATCAAAACAAATACTTGTTTGTGAGTCTCGTCAGGTTGGTTTTTGTTATTGAAAGGTTGATAAAAATAAGCAGTCAACTTGTTTACAATTTAGACAAAAACTAGTGACGTGTTCGGATTGTCTTTCGACTTAATTAGATTAATAGTTATACATAATTAATGGACGGTAAAAACATTCGCATACTATGTAAATTACGTAGTCACAATCGTTAAGTTGTTAAAAGAGTTTAATGTATAAAAATAGCAATTAAACAAAAATATACAATGGCAACCTTACACAAAACAGTCAAGCAATAAAAAAAGACAGCTGACAAAATAGGTAGAATATCAAATTACATTCCATAGCGAGTCGCAATGAAAGAAAAATCATGAATAGATGGTTAACAAAGTGAAGAGTTAACTGACCGTCTATCTGCTAAGAAATGCCATGATCTCCCGAGAATATATATCTTTTTCACATTTTGAATACTACTACTACTATCGGTTTACAGCGTTCTCCGACGCCTTCCGACTCCTAACCGCCATTCTTCTCTCTTCAACCATAGGTCTGAAGGGATTTCTCTTTCCTCTAGTTCTTTTTCAATTCCCTCTATCTCCAGCTTCTTCTCGGTCTTCCTCTTTTCCTTCTCCCTTGTGATGTCCACTTCCAAATCTGTTTTGGAATCCTGGCATCTGGCATTCTCTGTCCATGGCCGTACCATATTAACTGTTTTGTTTTTATGTCATCAACTATTGTATGCTTGACTCCCATCATTTCTCGTATTCTCTCATTTGGTATCCGATCTCTTCTTGATTTGGCTGCTGCTCTTCTCCAGAAGTCCATTTCTTTTGCTAGTAACAGTTTCTCTGTTCTTTGTTTCATTGGCCAAACTTCACTGCCATATGTGATTACACTTTTAAGTATGGTGTTGTATATGAGTTGTTTGTTCGCTTTAGATATTGTTTGGTCCCACAGAATGCCGTTCATCATGGATATGGCTTTTCTACCCTGTATGTTTCTGTCTTTTATAGCAGCATCGAGTGTTCCATCTTGAGTTATCTTCATACCCAAGTACTTGTATTCATCACAGTTTCTAATTTCTACCCCATCGTCTAATATAATGGATTGTTTTGTCCCTCCAATACACATGGCTTCAGTTTTCTTAATGTTGACTTCGAGACTCCATTTGTTATATTCTTCTATTAGCTTTCGAGTCATGTAACTCAAGTCGTCATGATTCTGGGCAATCAGTATTTGGTCATCAGCGAAACATAAGGTGTACAGTGTAGTCTCGTCATTGAGAGGGATTCCAATGCCATTACATTTTCCATAGCTTGAGTGCTTGTTCCAGATAAATATTGAAAAGGTTAGGCGAAATACAGCAACCCTGCTTTAGTCCTTTCGTGACCTTAAATCCTTCAGATATCCTTGATCCAGTTTTAATTTTTGCAGTCGTTCCATTATACAGACTTTGGACTGCTTTGATAAGACCATGCTTAATGTTGGTTTGCTGTAGGGTTGACCATAGTTTACTTAGGGGTACACTGTCATATGCTTTTTGTAAGTCTACGTACACCAGGTGAACTTCTTTATTGAAGGCTGTTTTTTTCTCAATAACTTGCGTAATAGAGTACAGGTGGTCTACTGTGGATCGCCCAGCTCTAAAACCAGCTTGCTCTTCTGCTTCGTAATCTCTATAGTCATTTTCTATTTTGTTCTTAATAAGTTTCCCATACATCCTACTTATTGTGCTGTTTACCGCAATTCCTCTGTAATTTTCACAGTGATCCTTGCTGCCCTTTTTGTGGATAGTTGACATGATAGATAATTTCCATTCTTTTGGTAATTCGGCCCCATTCAAACAGTCTTGAAAGAGTTTTCTTAACTGTTTCTAACATTTTGAATACTATAAAACACAAAACTCCAGTTTATCAAATACAAAACAACTATTTCTAAGAAATTAAACAAAGACTAAATAAAAAACAAATGTTTGAGATGTGCAAAGTAGATACAAGAATTAACGGAAATATGTCAATTTTCGCTGCTCTCTTCGGAAATACCATCCTGTAGTCAGTCGGAGCAAATGCATTTTGCGTGTTCTAATCATAAAATTTTTAGCATTTTTGACAGGTATATCTGTTTGGCCAATTTTTTTGTCTACTGCAGTAAAAACAACAACCTCGACGATTAGGTTGGGGATTTGGGGCTGGAACAATTTCGTCTTCAATACGGCAAATTTCTTTTATTCTTGACCTAGTTAATCATCTAGGAATACGTTTATTCAAAAATTGACGTTGCAGATGATCGTTTACTAGTTCCATACCAAGAGCTACTAGAAAATGTCTTTTAGGCATTTTCATAGGCATAGACCTTCAGCGATTGGCTCGAGCGCAATTGTAGGCGGCACACATTTTATCAACTAGATCTACTCTTCCGTTGGATTTATTATAGTCAATGATGATTTCTGGCTTGCCCGTTAATTCGTCTGCATCGTGCAGATCCACGATGCACCGTCGTGGTGCATCGTGGAGAGTAAAATAACGTTTTTGGTTTTTTCTAAGTGGGAGCTCTTTTGTTTTTTCCTATAGTGCTTATCATAGTCAGATGATGTTTGTTCAAAAGAAGATAGGCCAAGCTGAGGCTCGTAAAAAATTGTCCATTGTTACATTTCTGTGAGAACCAGATATGGGACTGCAGAGGCGAGGAACGAGGGAAATATTGCACGTATCAACTTTGTATGGGCCAGGTGGCTGTTGTCCAGGTGTCCAAAGTACACCTTTAGATTTCCGGTATAAGAAAACTTGACATCTACTAATGCGTAGATTTTTATGCCATATTTATTAGGTTTATTGGGCATATACGAGGGTGGATTGATATAAAACTAGCCTTTGATAAAAAAAACAAGTTTTTTGGAATTAATCGATTTATTTCTCAACATAATCTCCTTTTAGCTCGATACACTTAGTAAGACGATGTTCCAATTTTTTTATCCCATCCGAATAGTACTTTTGCTCGAGCTCTTCAAAATAGGCCGAAGTTTCAGCTACGACTTCATAGTTTGTTGCGAAACGGTCCTCCGAGCCATTTTTTAGGTTTGGAAACAGGAAAAAATTGCTGGCGGCAAGATCTGAGGAATACGGTGGATGTTCAACCAATTCATAGCCCAATTCGGGTAATTTTGCCATGGCGACAGCCGATTGCGGAGGGGATGCATTATATTGGTGAAAGAGCACTTTTTTGAGTTCCAAACCAGAGCGTTTTCGACGCAATTCGGCATCGAATCGATCCAATAATGTTGCGTAGTACTTACCATTGACTGTTTTTTATTTTTACAAGTAGTTGATGTGGATGATGCCCTTCGCATCCCAGAAAACAGTCGCCATCTCTTTGCCGGCCGAATGTGCACTCTTTGCCTTCTTCGGCGGTCCTTCGCCGCGTTTGCGCCACTGTTAAAACAAGAATTAACAAACTACTACAAAAACTGTGATCTACAAATAAATTTGTGGAATGTTGTACAGAAATTATATCGGACAAACAGAGAGAACATTAGAAAACGTGTCCAAGGACACAATTTTTACAAAAACCAACAATTTCCCGTGTTTATTATCCATACATAAATAGTATTAATACGTTTTGTGGAAATATACCAGTATCATATCTAAAATAAATTTGCATAGTAACTACCGTTCGAACCCATTGATTCTAGTCAAATAGTGAAGGAACTGCTAAAAAAAGATTTTGAATCAATTTATTCTGACTTTTTCTTCAGTCATGTTTATATTCAGGAACGAAAACATATACAAAAGTATTATATTTAAAATTCAGTCGTATTGTTAAATAAATAATGAGAATATTAAAATTTTTGTACAAAATATTCCTATTAGACCTTATTACCTGTGGTTTGGGGAATGTTATGGAAATGCAGCGTAAAATTTCTGTTGTTAAAATTTCGGAAATGGAATTATATATATTATAGAGCTCAAATTTCTATTCAAGTGCCTGTTCAATACACTATTCGGTGAAAGTAGGTAATCACTTTCATTTTTAACATATTGACAAATTTATATCTTATAGTCCAGGCGATTTAGACGAAATTTGGTCAAATGTGAAGTAAAAATGTTTTTTTTTTGTAAATAAACCTTCAAAATTGTTATGAGATCTGTTTTTTTGTGGCTATAGAAATAGTAGAAATAAAAAATACTAATTGAGTTGACCCTTTGCCGCATAAATTTTTGTTTTTTGTCAAAAATAAATTCTCAGATCAGAATTTTAATTCTATTTGCACGTAAAAATATGAAACAATGTAATATTAAATTTAAATTAGTTTAAAGTTACAGTATACACTATGTAGTATGAAAGTGAAAATAACAGTTTCTATTTTTATTAAGACAACGGTATACTGTGATATATGTTTTCCCTGTACAGGCTGGAAATTTGCATCTTGACTTAGTGCTGACATGGCAATAGGGAAAATAATCAAACCCATCTTTACGGAAGTCTTCTTGGGGTATTTCTTTAGTGTGTCCTTTTTTTCGTTTATCCTCGTATATCTGCTAAAGTCTACTACTACTATCCCAAAGGGGTAAGTCAAATGTCTTCGTTATTCTGGCTCATAACCAACAGTTCACGGCTGTCATATCAATGAAATGGAAAATATTTGTAATATTTCTTCAACCTGATTTTTATACGATAACATAGAATCAGGGAGATCTACACCTCCCATGTAGTTGTTGTAGATAAGGACACTGTTAGGGCAAGATATCATTTTATGTGTACTTTCTGTTTTGAAAAATCTTCTTTTTCTCCCTTTGATTCACTTCCAGCATATGTTGACATTGTAGTAATGATTTTGTTATCAAACCAGGACACTACACTGACATCCACGTTGCCTATATTGGTTATTTTCTCTACCATGTGACCTCTGCCGCGCTTCTACATTTCTTTTTCATCTGGCATCACAACTCCAGGAATACGATTTAGTCTTACTGTTGCCAAAGGTAAAATGCCCTCTTTGGTCAGATATATCATAAGAGGTAGGCTGGTGAACAATTGTTAAAAACCAACGTGCAATGTTGACAACCACGTTGCTGCTCATACTAAGATTTGTTGCTCCTGGAGGTACAATATTACTTTGGAAACCAGCAAACAAATCAAAGTCATAGCTGTATCCCGAAATTCCACTAAGCACAAAGTTTTTGAAGCCCAACTCATGTTGTTTTTTGGGTTATACCGCTTTAGTTGGCTTCGCGCTTTTGTTGGTAGAATCTGTTCGTCTACAGATAGAAATTCTTCTTTCGGAACAATGAGTAAACTTTCTTTGATTTGGCTCAGAACAGGTCTGATTTTGAATAATCTCTTATGTTCAGGCTGATCATTTTCAATCATGTCATCACTGTTATTGAAATGCAAGAAACGTTTTATTTCTTCGAATCTATTACAGCTTATCACATCGCTAACTGCTCGGTGACCAATATTGGCATTCCAATAGTGTCTTGTTGCTGGAAGTTGAATTGTCGACACGTTGCACTGAGTATAAATTTGATTGTTATGTGATATGCTCTATCTACCAGGAAAGAGAAACTTAAAAAAGTAGACCGATTTTCGGAAACAGTAAATTTTGTATGATTTTTTGATCTTCTTAGATTACCTTTCACCCACTTATGAGATTTCGTCCTTTTATATCACAGTCTTTCAGACAAAGAGGTATCATCATCTGAGGATGTGGCTGGAATGACAGTTTCCTTGACATTGCTTGGTAAATCTTCACACTCCTTATTGTCACTATCTTGACACAATACCATCTCATTTGTGCCATTGTGTCATAAAAGAGTTTCGGATCCATTTCTACAAAAACAATCAATGAGTCCATAACGTCATAGTGTACCATATATAGGACACACCAATTTTTGACGTTTTCGAGAGACTCTCAACTTTCAAAATTTTTAGTACTCGCTTTAGAAGATATCTAATATCACAATACAATGAATTTCAATTTTTTTCATGTCATAAAAAACGTCTTTACCTTGAAAAATAACCTCAAATTTCGAACACTGTTTCAGGTGGTTCAGAATTTCGACAAGAATGAACTTAAACCTGCACACGGCTGTCAATCTCGCCGTCAGAGCTATGTCGCATATCTTGCGTACACTATTAAGGTCGATTCAGACACGTCAGTCCCGTCACAGTCTCGGCGCCGAACCGGTCCTGTTTGGTCACAGAACTATTAATTATCTGACAGCTGGGAAACTGTTCGTCGCCTGATGAATGTGAATGCCGGCGCCATATTTCTATTAAAGAATATTTTGTATGACGGATTGTTCGGTTCGGCGCCAGGACTGTGACGAGACGTGACTGATGTGTCTGAATCGACCTTTAGTACGTGCCAGACACAGCTACGACAAAAATTAAATTAAAACATTAAAAAAATATTTTTTGTTTGTTTATGCGATTTATAGCACATAATGCGGTAAAGGTTTAATGCAATATTTTCATTGAACGTCCATTGAACGTATGTAATCTCCCTTACGGTTTATAATTGAGTATTTGTTTATATTTTGAAACAATTTTCGATGGTTTATTTACAAATTTACAGAGAACCGATTTTAGACAATCCAAAATACCTGGATGGATCCCTTTATGGAACTTTTTATAATCCATGGTAACTCTTTAACGTAAATCTTAAATATACCTAACTGTTATATATTTTAACTTACTCAAAAAGAGTTGTTTTTTAGACTTTTTTTCACATATCTTATTTAAGTTGCAATATATATACAAACATTTATTATGCAGTTGTAGATTTCTTGTTAATTTATTTATGTTGAAGCGTATGAGGATGACTACCAGAAATTTTTGTTGCGCAGTAGTTTGTTTTTTAGTTTTTAAGTGGTGCTAAAATGTAATTCGTAGGATGTACCAAAGTGGCTACCTTATGTTGTACTTCTGAAATACAGGTATTTTTTAAAAACTAGACTATTGTTTTTTATTTCTCCTGTAACCTCTCCTTGTGCAAAAGGTAATAAATTAATCAGTAACCAGTAAATCATTAGGTAAATCATCATTAGTAAGGTTTTGGAAACTCGTATATGAGGGGTGTAAGATCAAAGTTGGCAATATTCCATTTCCATAATTTTGGGAAACCGCGAAAAACTGTAGAAACTAACAAAATTAAATTAAAACAATGAAACTAATGAAGAATGATATAAAATTTGGTTTGTGATGGGATGTCCAGAAAGAGGAGCTTAAGAAATTATTTCTTTTCCTTTTTTTAATATTGTAGTTTGGAGACTGCCGTTTTTGTTTGCAATGCTTGCAGATTGACGGATATGAAAATGATCTGTAAAGATATTGCCAGTTTTGAAACTAATCAAACATCATTGTGTCGGTTACTTAGTGAAAAACATTTATTTTGATATTGAACAATAATATAATATGTAAACAATTTATATACATATCACTTAAACTAAAGTATCCTGAAGTTCGGGTATATATTCACAGGTTTCAACATACTCTAACTCTGGAACAGGATTCTCCAAGTAGTTCTCGTTTGCTTCTTGTTCATAACGTTGAAAAGGTTCTTTATAGCAATTAAGCCTATCGAGTTGTGTCCAGTCTAAAAAAAAATATTTGGTCAAAAGATTTCACACATCACGCAGTTTTAAATTATTTACTTTGTGAGTATCGGGAATAAGTTTTTCTGGATTGATCATGCTAATCTTTTTGCCTTTTCGTGTGATATTTACAAAAGATCCAAAATCGTTTTTGTAATGAAGTTCACCTAGTATTAAAACGTTTCCTGTCCTACATCGTTTTATTTTACATTCCTTAAACTGAAAATTGCATGCTCCTACTGGTTTAAGAACCCCTTGAACAGCAGACTTCCAATCACAACAGCTTTGTTTCATATCAACGACCGTAGAAAATTCGAAAATAATTTCCTTGTATTCGCCAGGTGTCGTTCCTACTTCTCATTTTCGTAAATTCTTCTCAATTTCACCGAAAATTCTATCGGATGATAAGGATGACCAACTACTGGTAAAACTAACTCAAGTAATTTAACATTTGGTGGTGCGCTCTCGGCTAGCCCTTTGCAGCACATACCAATCATTATCGAGTTTTTATTTTGGCCACTGCATCCATCGGCGACCAGTCGTACCTTCTTTGACATGTTGCCAAAATCAGTGTCATTGAGTTGATAAAAGACTGCAGTGGAAATTTCATTTGATTTTTTAGCAAACATGTCCTCCAGTATGAAAATACATTTTCCTTTGAAAGTGGAGAAATGGAGAGAACAGTAAAGTTATAAAATTAAGCTGGCTGAATAATAAGCACTTTGATCATGAACCTTGGAGAGGACCAAATTTATTTGGCAGTTAAACGACAAAGTGACTAGCTCTTGTCTGTTTTCTTGAAGAAATTAGAAAAATGCTGTCGCTCGAAGATTGTGGAGCCCTTTTTCGGTAATTAGTTTATTTTAGATTGCTAATTTTCTCGTATTTATTGCGTTCATTTAGCTCTAAACATTTTGAGCAAACGTTTGTTCTTGGAGTTTTAAAGCTCAAATTATATTTTCTGTTAAATAAATAGGGAAAATACGATGTCTTCATAGTCTTCGATGGAATTGTCTGAGCAGTGTACATTAAATACAATTTTGAGAGGCTGAGTTTAGATGGAAGATACATTCTTTTCGTCACTGAACGACTGAGCGTAATGGGATTCAGTACATTTTAATTGGTTTATAAACTTTTGCACTCCTTCCAGCTTATCCCGATATTTCGCAGTTTTTCGATCACCACCTCTGCGTTCAATCGGTGCTTCGCCTGTTTCATTAAATTGTTTTATCACATAGGAAAGCCTGTGTTTTGTTATCCCTAGCACGTTGAAAAAAGCTTCTTCGCACACAGGAAAACTGCCAAAAATTAGAATTAAAAATATTTCCACAAAAAACAAAGATCAAAACATCTAAACTAAACATCTAAAAATCATAAAAATCAACAATAGCTGACCATTTTTATAGCTTTTAGATGTTTTCGTTTCTATTTTTGCCCGAATTTTGTCAACCGAAAAAAATGGGCCAAGAAAATTCGGTCAGAATACCAATAAAAACATTTGCAAGCTATAAAAACATAGTAAATTATAGTCGATTTTTATCATTTGCAGGTTTTCCCATTGGTATTTTTGAAAAAATCGTCCGATAAAAATGCCCAGTGAGAACGCATTATTAAAACAATAAAAAATTTTGTCTCAAAAAATTTATTGAAAATTAGAATACATTTTTGTTACAATTTATGAAAATAAACTATTTTTTCCAAAGAAATCCGAAAATTTTAGCTGGTTTTTAGAATTTAACTTCTCGGTAATGACAAAAGATTCTAAGATGTTCAGTGAACTAAAAATAGAGTAACTTTTTTACTTTCAAAGTACCGTTTAAGTTGCGTAATATGGTTTGTTTGCACTCGTAACATATATTTCTCCCACAACTAATGACGCGTCAACTTCATCATTCTCTTGTTTTTCATCATTGTCCTTAAGCACTTCAGCGATGATCTCTGCATCGGGTATTTCACCACATACTGCAAGATCTTTCATCCACGTTGACAAAATCTTCATAAGAGGTGGCAGGATCAGAAATGATGCCCCTCCCCCCAGCAGTCGACTGAAAGCAGCTAAAGTGTCGTCTGCGTTCTCCTCCTTTTTTATGAAACCAGCTCTTTTGAAACAGTGTTTGTATTTTAAGTGTGTCGCAATTTTCCGTCATTATGTTCAACCAAAAGACGTCTGTAAAAATGTTTAAAATTGTTTATGGAGAACTAAAGTTATATCAGCAGGAAAAAAATTCTTTTATATTTTCCATCAGTGGAGTACAGTTGTCAATAAACAAAAAAAACTTTTCTTTTTTCTTTTATGAACTTTTTGTCTCATTTTTTCAGCCAGTTCTCGAAAAGATCACTAGTCATCCAAGCTCTTGCGCTGCTCACATATTCCACTGGTTTTGACTAGACTTTCTTAAAACAACGCGGATTAGCTGACTTGCCAATCATTAGTAGAGGCAGTTTTTCCGATCCGTCCATGTTTGCACCAATTAGGAGAGTTATTCTTTCTTTACTTAGTTTTCCTCCGTGATTTTTTTCGTTTTTAAATGCGTGCTGTGTTTTGGTCAGGAGTGCATTTAAAAAAGAGACTTGTCTCGTCAACATTAAAAATATTTCTTTCATCTAAACCCTGAATCATCTAATCCATTTTTTTTTTTCATTGGTTGGCTTCTTGCTGATTAACGTTCCCACTTTCTCCAGAAATTGTGTTGCGTTCTTTGAAGCCGACGAGCCACTCTGTACTCGCCTTAACATTGTTTTTCCCCATTTCAATAAAATTGTTCAGCTTTGCTTCTTATACGGGGACAACTCACGGGAATCTTCTTATCCCTAGCTGGTTTGAACCATTTTAACACACAACTGTCTAAATTTGGATTTAACCTTTAACCTGGCTCCCTTAACCTTTTTCGATCTTGACCGCACTCACTTTCACTGTTGAGAATTTTTTCTTTATTCTTCAAGTAGGTGGATAATGTGTTAGGAGGAATTCCAAAGTCCCTGGCAATCTCAGATTTTTTCTTCGTCCTCTTTTCTACTTCTTTAATTGCCGCTATTTTTTCCGATAACGTCAAAGTTTTGTATGTGCGAAGTTTGAATTGTAACGCAACGCATCTCAACTGAAGGTATCGGGTGGGGTAGAATTTATGTGCCAGGTACGGGTACAATGTATAATGGCCTTTAATGCCTTGAAACTTGAAACACGTGGCACGTAGAACAGAAAAGAACACTATCTCTTTTCGTGGAAATAAATTTCCAGCATGAAATTGGCATTTTTATCTTGTAGAAAAGTTCGAATTATCCAAAATATAATTCGAATTATTCACGACTTTTTACCATTACTTACATAGGAAATTCTAGGGACCAGAATAAAAATTCGAATTAGAGAAGATTTCGAATTAGCGAAGTTCGAATTAAGCAGGTTTTACTGTATTTCTAATGCTAATAGCAGGAAAGTTATATATAATATTCGACATTTTGAACACTTTAAAGTGACGTGCCGTGAACTATTATCTTTTTTCAATGTTATGGCATGCTGGATGAGTCATAAAATTGTACAGTCTTTAATTTGGTCCTATCTTGTCAATTAATTGTTGGAAATTCTACAATAAAATTAAAAATTAATTCAGGGTAATCATTTCCCAAGTGAATAACATTGTGTATATACAAATCAGCTTAAAGAAATATACAACAGCATTTCGGTTTGTTAACGTTAACAATGACATGATCCGATTCAACAGTAGGTACACACGGGCGGGCGTGGAAATTCCTAACGGAATTCGCAGTAGTCTTTGTTGTTTGATTATTTAAACGATGATTAATGATGGAATGAACAATAAGACTTCCTGAAATTATTGGAGAACGATTTATTTATACATTGCATTTTAGTCATGTCTACAATAAATGCATAATTGAGGAGCAAACTTTCATATCACACTATCCATTTTTAACATTTTTCAGGAAGTGAGAAGAACTGCTACCCAATTATTAATAAAGCTAAAATAAAAATACAAAATATGAAGAAATGTACTTTTTTATTATCAATTAAACCTATTTATAAGTTTCATCAAGCTTTATTAGTTTTTTCAATAAAAAAAATTATTTATGGACAAAACGCCTTTTGGTTGTCATTAAATGACAAAATGTAGTTTGATTATCCCCAACTAATTTAAATAAAAATATGAACTGAAAATGCATTTCTCCGTGTTTGGAATGCAATATAGTAAAAAAATCATATGACATATATGTCGTCCTCCAGAAAACAGCAAAATTCTTCTCTATCTCTACATTAATCGCAGGTCTGGTCTTTTTCAATTGTATTTTCACGATACTGCTCTTTCAAAATTGGATCTAACCAAGTTAACTATGGATCTAATGCCCA